ATAAACCGTCAATGTTTCCATCAATGCCCTACATAACGAACAATGCTAATAGGAGGGGAACAATCCCCCTCGCCTCTGGAATACGTCAATGGATATAAATTGTCAGTGTTTCCTTCGATGTTTTGCACAGTGAATGACATATTGTATTTATATTCCCTAACTAACCATCCTGTAAATGTTTAAATTGAAAGTTGCATGCATAACACAATAACACCAGTCTATATAACAATTATAAAATAAACACTTCTTTGTTGATAATTTAATCAATAATTATTACACTATCATTAATGACATTACAGTACTTTCATGTTTTCATAATTAGTCAGAATTATCTTCTTATTCTTCAATTGACTCGTCGTCAGCTCCAACACAATCTTCTATATTGATATCATTGTTATCATCATCTTCATCAACTTATACTTATCCGTTGGAGCTCAGAACAATATTCAATTCCTCAGTGTCAGCGTCAACATCCACAAAAATATTATTGAAGACGTGAAAATTTGAATTTTCATCCAAGTCAATCGATGAAGCAACTCAATATGGTTTAACCAACTCACTTACTATAAAGACATCATCACCAACATTTGAGTCATCGTTCTCATCCTGAACAACCTCAACACGACCCTTGGATTTGGTTTTCAATATAGATAACTAATTAACTCTTGACCGATCTTTTCTAAAGAAAGGGGTGCGATGTATATTAAACTTGCTGACATTACTTAGTGAAAATAAAGACATCATTGATGTTGTGCAGTCTAGCTTTTGACTTAATTTTAACCAAATCATGATGGGAATCTACTCTAATTCCTCTGTCAATGGTGTCATACTAATAACATTTAAATAAAAAGACTCTATTACGCTCGCTATGATATTGCAATTCAATTACCTCTTATAATTTCTCATAATAGTTAGCTTCAAACTTGAAATCGATCCCTTAACACAAACTCCACTCTTATATGTCTTTCTACCCTACCCATATTCTTCAGTATGAAATATGAACCCATTAACAAAATACTCATTGTAGCACTTCACTTTTCTTTTAGGACCCAGACTTAGTAAAGACAATATAATGCTAACATTTCTTCCCATTTTATAAACCTGGTACATCATGTACAACAATGAATAGTGATTGAGAACTCTATAATGAAATTAAGTAACTTGATAGATAATGAATTTGTGATAGTGCTTATATGTGTTTTAAACCACGTTGCAAATTGTTCATCTTGTAATCGAAAGATTTAAGATTCGATCAACTGTGAGTTATTAGACTACAAATATTGATGATGTTACCAACAAGATATTCCACAATGTATGAGTTTTTAATATTAGATGAGAGAAACAGTCTTTTAATAACAAAGTTTAGGTAATATACTTATTGAAATAAAGGTCTCGGTTCATTGTAACTAAATAGCATATAATTATGTGGTTGTCTGAATTTCTATTCCAAACAAATATCTTCCTTTGACAACTTGTTTTGGTGCAGGTCGTCCAGGATTAGAGAATATTAACAAGTTTCACTTGAAAGCACTTCACCGCCATCATTATACCTAGGTACACAATTAATTCTTGTTCTCAAATGAGGCTTGAAATATTATGAGATAAATATTGAGATCCTCACAACAATATAAATCTCACATATTGATGCCTTAACATGCATCTTATCTTTTACCTTTTTCTTTAAAGATTGAACAAGTACCTATACGAAATAATATGAATGTTTTCAATTAACAAAAAATAATGAAAATAATATCGAAGATTACATTGCATATGTAATCTTTAACCTCTCGAATGAACACATCTGTCTATACTAGACTGGGCCTTCGACTTTTGCCTTATATGGTAAGTATATGGGTAGATGCTCCATAAAGTCAAAAAACAATGGAAAAAATATCATCTCAAGTTTGTATATTGTCTCGACAATATTCATTTCAAGCCTCTTAATATGCTGCTAAAATATGCAATAAAAAAATTAACATTTCAAAATTGTATTCAAATTTTTTTAAAAAACAATTAGTAGATTTACTTGTTTAAAATGAAAAATTCACAATAAAATTACTATTATATTGTAAAAATCAAGGAATGATGAGTTATGTTGTGATAGAAGGTGATGTGGGAGGGGGGTTATTAGTTGCAGATTTAGAGGGTTGTTTAGTTGTAGAGGGGAAGAAGAAGAAATAAAGGAGAGAAGGATTGACAGCCAAGTCATATATTAATTATTACTAATAGAATTATTATATCTATCAATCCATCAGCAATTATGTTGATATAAGTGACAAGTCAATGTATGACTTTTTCTATTTGAATCCAATTGTAATTCTGTCAATAAAATCATCCATAAAAAATTATATGTCATCGTACTTTTTGTTTTTTTTTTTAAATTTCTTTTATTCCTACTATAATTCCCTTGGTATTTATAAGCAGAAATATTTCATCAATAAATACTAACAGATTAGTAATGGAATATATTCAGTTGGTAAATGTTACCCTAAAATACTGACAATTTTTTCATCAGTGATTATGTTTGTATTCATTAATTTTCTAGTAGTGATTTAAGGATATAAACTTCAATGATAGTTAACTATATTGGACACCATTCAATTTCTCACAACTTGGAAACCATCTTATTACCTGCTTTTCTTTAATTTTTTTCACATCAACACTGGTTTTTGGCAATTTCCCCCCAGACATATCACAGTTGCAGCACATTAAGCCTTATGCTATCTAATTTTCAATCGAGTCCATGAAATATTGTTTTTTAGGGGGGATTTAATTGACCAATAGTTCAACTAATAAAAACTACCAGAAACCCATTAAATCAGTAATGCTTTACAAATTTTCCTTTCCTTTAAATATGGTATCAGAGAGCCAGAGCAAGTAGAAATATTCATAGATAGGGGGAAGCCAACGACCACATCAGAATGTGATTCACTTAATCAATCTCTGCGGCTTACATCTAAAATTTTTCCTAAAAAACTGATTGGAGGTTTACAATTTGAACATTCAAAATATGAGAGTAGTGAATGTATTATGCTTGTATTTTTAGCTTTTCCCTCTCTTATAAGGTTTATAAAGGAAGGGGGTAAACAAAAAAAGTGAGGTGGACAATAGGTGAAATGAGATAGTGGTCTTACTTTATTTACTTTTGTTAGTTGTTTGCAGATGTGTTATTAATCTCCACTCTTTTTCCAAATGAAAAAAACTACAAGTCTAGATAGATTCACCTCATATGCTCAAGGCAAGCTTATAAATCTCTTAGAAAAATAGATAGAATATTTGATCCCTTATGCAAATAAGGCCTTGTTCCTTATGAGGTTGGTTAGGAAGCTCCTTTCTACTATAGCTATAATAAATGAGATAGACATTAGGGGCTTTTTTTTTTTTAACCTTAGAAACATTATTGTGTAGCTCACTTAAATTAGAGACATACTAAATCTTATATTGACAAATAATTACTTATTTTAAATTGAGGATTAAGGCCTATTTGGTAGTTTATTTTCTTATGCTCATACAAACTATATTTCATATTTTCTTATTTGCATGTATGTAAGTAACTTGTTTTGAAGCACTCAGATTGTTCTTATTTCTTATTTATGATGTATTAGGTTCTTTTACTTTATACATTTATGATATATCTACAAGTATTAAGTAAACAACAATGTTGTCTTGAAGATGATTGACACGACTAAAAGATTGATGTCTTCTCTCAAGTGCAGGAGTGTCGAAGTAATAAATAACCCGGCAAGACCGGGGTCGAACCACAAAGAGATTAATTGTATAAATTATAAACAACAATTATCAAACAATAACAATAGTAACAACAACAACAATAATAATATTAACAATAATTACAATAATATTTAACAAGCAAAGTATTAAAGAGTGAACAAGATAACAAATATAAAACATGTTAGTATCAAACATTAAAGTCCATATTAAGTTTACATTATACTTATTCTTACACCATTAGTGTAACCTTTTCACCTTGACATAATTAACTTAGCTAGACATAATGAAAGAAAGCAAAATAGATAAACAAAATAAGAACATAAAAGTTAACTAAGTAAAGGAAAGGAAATGAAAGGCATAAACTTAATATTAATGAAAACAAAGCATAAAAAATACAAAGAGAGAAAGGAAGAGCATGATCTTGATCTGAACACCAAGATGCCTAAATGCATGGCAAATGCCTCCTTTTATAGGCCAAAATTGGGAACTATTGATTTGATGACTAATTGATAAGTGGGTGGCCAACTTTTGACTTGGTGACAATCTTTATCTTCTCTTGTCTGCCCAAAACGTCATTGATAACGTCAAAATTGGAGCCAGTTGCAAACATGAAAGTTGTAGGCAATTGTCTCAGCTTTCTTGTGTAAAACATTCAGCTCATTTGGACTTCTAGAACTCCAGATATGGCCAAAATACCGAACAGTGCTCGGGCTGGAAGACAGATTCGGGCTTCTTTGTTGTTGCTACAATTTGGACTTGATAATGGCCTTTTTAGATCTTGGGCTCCATATGAAAGTTGTAGGCCTATGTCTTACCTTTCCATCCATATAAATTGGACCTAAATCTGAGATCTGTAGCTCCAGATATGACCCAATTACCGAACAGTGTTCCGGTTTGGATTGCACCGACATCTCTTTTCTAAGTTTGGCCATCTCTTTATCCTTGCAATTTAAGTTCTTAAAGTCATCAATCAATTTTTTCATTTATGTGATAGGCCTGCATTTAAAATGAATATTTATCATAAATTAGAGGTATCTTATATTATTAGATATATTATTATAAAACATGCTTTGGTTAAGGAGTTATTGATACTTCAAATGCAAAATGATGATATAAAACCATGATAAAAATGCACTTTTAAGTACTAATCAATGATTCATAAAAAGATAGCCAAACATGTAAAACTAATAAGGATATTAAACTCGAGACATAGTTCACACGTTCGTATGATCTATGATGATGAAGGATTACTCAACCCTTGTGTCATTGGATTTTATTTAGATTTATTTATTGAGATTAATTTAATTATTGTTAGATATTTTATTTAGTGGGATATAAGCCCAATTATTTGTTCTAGTTAAGGTTTTAGTATTTATATTCTATTTTTCTAAATGTTAGGGAGTTTCGATGAATTAAATAAAAATTATGGAGTTGCAAACTTTTCCAATCCTCATTTTTCTCTTTTCTAGATTTTTCTTCTTTTTCTTTGTTTTTAATTCTTATTTTTTTCTCTAAAAAGTTTTTATCTTACTTGCTTTATTTTTTTTCATTATTTTGCATCAAATTTAGTATCAAAGCACATGCTTTTAATTGTTCTTATAATTAATCAATATATAAAGGCTTGTGAAGATTTTTAGATTTATCATCATCAACAGTTGATCTAGACAAAAAAAAAAATCTTCCAATCAACTAACTTAGATTTATTTTGGCTTAAACCTTAACCATGACACATTCATTTCCACCTTATAATTGCAAGCCAACTAGCAGATTGACCTCCCATAACAGATTAGCCAACCCACAGACTAAGTCTTCTCTTCGCCAATTATAGATCAACCATTGTAGTTACTGCCTCACTTAACTAGTAACTGAGAAGACCATCACTCCTTGGACAACCATCTCAAGCAACAATAATAACAACAAAGAAACCCCATGAGGCTCTCAAACAAATTAATTCACTACTATTACACCACCATATTTCATTACATCAGCATAATGTCACTAGATTTCAACACATCACCAGATTCAGTCATGTTACTATATTTCAACAAACAAGTGCCCCATCACCATGTTTTGTTATGCCAACAACATATCACCAGATTTCATCATGTCACCAGATTTTACCACGTTAGCTCATAGTGCAATGCCACCATATTATGCCATGTCAACAGTAGTAACTTCGAGCATATTCCTATCACAATATGTGCAAAGGAATACAATAATCAAGATCAGTTTGGTATTTAAGATGTGGATATACGCTTTCTAAACTATGTTAAAAACTAAATTTATAATTTTTATCCCTATACTCTTTACTTTACACACTTTAATTATAGTATTGGTTACTTGTAATAATTGTATTTAATTGAGTTAACTATAATTTTTAATGAAATACCATTTTTAGTGAAACACCTAATTCACCCCTCTTAGGCGTTATTGTTGCTTTAATCTTAGAACAATAATTGGTATCATAACCTAGTTCTCATTTACATAAGTTTGATTAGATTTTGAGTAAAATAACAACCACTAGTTTTAATATTTAAAATAATAGATCATCAACCTCTAGGACACCTTTCTTTGATGGTAATGATTATGCCTATTGGAAAGCTAGGATAATAATATAACTTCAATCCATCGATTATGATTTATGGCTATCTATTAAGAATGGACCCCACAAACCTCCTAAAATTAAAAATGGCATTACAATTCCTAAAGATAGGAGTGAGTATATCAATGGGGATAAAAAGTTAATTGCTATGGATGTTAAAACAATGAACATTTTATATTGTGCATTGAGTATGAGTGAGATTAATAAAATATCATTTTATAAAAATGCTAGGGATATATAACATGTTTAAGAAGTAACTCATGAAGGTACTAATCAAGTTAAAGAATCCAAAATTAATATACTTGTATATCCATGTGAGTTATTCAAAATATTTCCATATAAATATACAACTAATATGTTTACTAGAATTTCAATTATAATAATTTAGCTACTCTTAGTAGGATTTATATTAATGCCAATATTGTAAACAGATTTCACATATCCTTGCCAAAGACTCAGAAAAAAAAAAAGGTGATGGCAATTCAAGAAGCCAAAGACCTCACCAAACTTCAATTAAAAAAACTTATTGGATCACTAATGACTCATGAAATCATCATTCAAAAGCAAGAATGAAAATATAAACTAAAAAAGAAGTTGACATTCAAAACCACACATCATGTTGGTAAAGAAAGAGAAGAAAAAGGGGAGGAGGAAGAGGACATTGCATTTATCACAAGACAAATCCAAAATTTTCTAATAAAAAAAACAAGGAAATAAAAAGTTCTCAAACTTAAAGAAGAATGGAAATAAGAGAGAACCTAGCAATGAGGAATTTTTATACTACAATTGAAACAAGATAAGACATATAAAGGTTAATTGTCATCTTGTTCAAAATAAAAAAAGAATTGTCATAACAAACAAGCAATGAAAGAAAAATGGAGCGATGACTCGGACTCTAGCTCAAATGATGATGAAAAGCATGTTGCAAACATATGTGTCATAGCATGGAGCGATGACTCGGACTCTAGCTCAAGTGATGATGAAAAGCATATTGCAAACATATGTGTCATAACAATTGAAAGCTATATGAGGAATCAAGGGAATATGAGAAATGGTTATTGGATAGTGCTTACTCAAGACATATGATTAGAGATGATTTATTATTCTTAAGCATTACTAAGATTAATTATGGAAAAATCACTTTTAAAGATAACTTAAAAGGAAGGATCATTGGAGGTAAGTCCTCTTCCTCAATGGAAAAGATGTTCCTTGTAAATAGTCTAAAATATAATTTGCTAAGTATTAATCAACTGAGTGATAAAGGCTATAAAATTATATTTGATCATGCATATCGCTTAATCCTTGAAAATAATAAAGTTCTATTTATTGGGAAAAAAGAGAGAGATGTTTATAAGATTAATATTGATGCATGTATAAGAATAGAAAGTTGTCTTCTTACTAGCATTAATGAGTTTTCTTTGGCATAAAAGACTAATAGTCTATATAGGCATGGATATTCTCTCTAAATTTGTGAAAAATAAGCTTGTTAAAGAACTTCCTGGTATAGAATTAAAAAAGAAATTTATGCAATGCTTTCCAAATGGGTAAATAAGTAAAAATATCTTTTAAGAATAAAAACTATATTTCTACTAAAAGACCTTTAGAATTGATTCACATAAATCTATTTAAACCAACTAGATCTAAAATCATAAGTGGTAATAGATATGTGTTTATAATTGTGAATGACTTTCAATATATACATGAGTTTTGTTTTTGAAATCAAAAGATAAAACTATTTATGAATTTGTAAGGTTTTGAAAACAAATTGAAAATGAAAAAAACAAAATCAATCATAAACATAAGGAGAAATCATGGTGGTGAATTTATAAGTGATTTGTTTGAATCATTTTATGAAGAAAAAGGATATTACCATAACTTTTCACACCTAGAACTCCCCAACAAAATGGGGTTATGAAAAGAAAAAATCAGTCTTTTCAAGATATGACAACAACTATGTTAAATGAATTTGATACTCCCAAGTGTTTTTGGGCTAAAATTATAAACACATCTTACTATATTTTAGATTGTATTACCTTGAGACCAGAGTTAAAAAAAAGACTCCTTATGAGCTTAGGAAATCCAACATGTTGTATTTCAATTTTTATTGTTTAAAATGTTTATTCTCAACACCAAAATTTTTTTGGATAAGTTTGATTCAAAATTCGATATTGATATTTTTTTTCTTGGTTATTCCTTATATAATAAAGCTTATAGAGTATATAATAATAAAATACTTTGTTTTGAGGAATCCATGTATGTCGTATTTGAGGAAACTCAAAACGATAAAATTATGAAAATTCTAGATGACATTAATGAAAATGTTTAACATTTGAGTCTTATTAAAAGACTAAAAATAAACAAATACAAAAAGACCGACCAAACACAAACAATCAATAACAAATGGCAATAAACTCTTTTGTGCCACCAAATGAGCTAAGGTATGGAAGCTCTCATCATCCTAAGTTAATTATTGGTAATTCTTTTAAATTACTAAGACTAGAGTATCTATTAGAAACATTAGTGAGCATTATGCATTTATTTCTCATATAGAACCCATATCTTTTTTGGGAGCGGAAAAGGATGCACAATAAATTTTAGTCATACAAGATAAGCTAAACTAATTTGAGAAGAATGATGTTTGAGAACTAGTCCTTAGACCTGTAAATCAATCCGTTATAGGAAAAAAATGGTTTATAGGAACAATTTTGCTCTTTTTTTTTTATTAGAGTTTAAGTATAGACTTTAATATCTGAATGTGTAAAACTACACAGTAGAATACAATCTCAAGTATTAAAAATATAAAATATAAAATAAATATGATGTTAAAATTTAAATTTTAGAATTGATAAGATTAAATTTGATGAGGTGGAGACTTTCTTGCGAAAAGAGATATGCTTTAGACCTTAAAAGAAGGCCAATAAATATAAACTTGACATTGAAAAACAATCAAACAACAATGCAGTTTACCTTAGTTAAGGTGCACTAGAGGTGACGTGTCTTCTCCTTGCACAACCAGTCCCTTATTGAGACTCTCATTGTTCATAGAGTTCCTAGTAACCATAATACTAGGTGGCAACTCATGAACCTTAACTATAATTTTATGATTAAATCCAAAACTCTTTCCTTCCCAACAACAATACCTTTCAGGGAGCACAAAAAACACCTCAGCCCTATGTCGCCCCATGATAGATTGTATAATTAGATGAAGACCCATCACCTTACTATGTATAATGATAAAGAATATGATAACGATAAATAATTAAAAACAAAAAAACATTACCGTATGGTCAATGTCTATCTATCATTTTTTTAGCATTTCAATATCTTACTAACAGATACAAATATGACATCGTATTATCATTTACAGATTGATCACAAAACCCCTACTAAGATGAAATTTGTATTAAATGACAAACATGCTTGGATTTCTAAAGACCAAATTGGGTGTTTATGATGAGGAAGAGCATGGTAAAGAAGAAGAAAAAGAGTTTGACATTGACAATCAATTTATTGATATATTTGAGATGTCATTTATAACTTTCTTTTCTGAAGATGTTGGTAGTAATTTATAGAGATCCAAGATGGAAGGTCATCTCGCACATATTGAGGACGAGGTGCACCATATCCGAGAGGATATAAGCTATTTATGTGACACTTATAAGGATATTTGGGATATTATGGTTAATATGTTATCTCAATATCTGCCACCTTAGACAATTGTAGCAAAAACATTTTCACATTTTCATGATTTTACCTTTTTTGTATTTCATTTCACTAATTTTAATAGATATTACATTTTGATCATTATAGCATGTTTTTATATTTAATTTCTCTATATTTTTATGCTTTTTTATTACTTTTTATTGATGCCAAAAGAGGAAGATTATTGACCTTAAAGTCACATATTAATATTTATGTATTTTAATGATAACAATTAAAGAAAAACAAGCTAATGATATGCTTGGTTGATATTAAGTCTAAATATGTTTATATGAAAATTATCAATAAACATGAATAATTAAATGAAGAAATAAATCAATAAGTCTAAGATGTAAATCAAGTGAAAACTTAATTCTTAAGGATTTATTTTAGTGTTAATTATGTAAATTTTTTTATTTTACTTGATAGCACAAATTAAAATGAATTCACATACTTTACATTTCATGCATTATAGGATCCATATGCATTTAGTCGTTCAAGATTCGTCAAGTTTAAAACTATCAAATCTGGATTTCAAGTTAAATCAGTTAATCATTTTGCTATACCAAGTGACTGGTTGACTATTTGTTCATCAAGGATAAACACCTGAAAATTTATAAGAATCGGTCGACCATTTAAACTGTCAAAAGAATAATAATGGTTATAAATAACTACTTCTTGCTAGAATCATATATATAGCTTATCTAATTGAAGAACTAGGTACAAAATTTGAATATATATATATATATATATATATGAAAGCTATTTTAAGAACAAAAAAAACAAAAAAAACTTCAAAACATCAATTTTAAATAATACTCATATTTATGTATTAAAATCTTTATATTCTTATACAATAGAATAAATATTCACATTTACTATACTTAAACACCTTCATACATTCTAAATGTTAGTAACTGAGTTATATAAATATAAGTTTTGATTGTTTTATCTAATTTTTAAGAGAATATTGTTATATTTCAAATAATTGTAATATTTTAAAAATTAAAGTGAAAAATTCTTGGTCATTGGTGAGGTATAACATCAAAATAAAAAAATTTTTAAAAAGATATTCTTAAAAATTAAAGTGAAAAATTCTTGGTCAAAAAAAAATTTAAAAAAGATATTTTTTCAAGCAGTGAAAAAAAAAGCTTAATAATAATTCATTAAAGACTTGAATGGGTAAAAAATATAATTCTAAAGACTATATTAATGCTTGGGGTATAGATATAAGTTTGCTAAACCATATTAAAAACTGAGTTTACAATTTATATCTTTATATTTTTTATTTTAAATATTTTAATTATACTATTAATTAATTATTATTATTAATGAAATATATAATTCATCCTTTAGATGTTATTGTTACTTTAATTAAAAAAAGAAGTTGCTAAGCAATGACAAAAACAAAATTAAGAAAAGAAAAATGAAAATGAAAATTAAGCGGAAAAAAAAAATCCAAAGTGATCTAAATAACAGGCCAAAAAATCATCATAAATCATCTTTGCAAGCACCAAATATAAGCATACGACAAATCAACAATCATAAACGTCAAAGCTCGCCAGTTCATCAACATCATAGAATGAGGGAGCCTAGCAAGTCACGACACCAAACCAAAAACCTCGTTAAGTACCAAACCGAACGAAACAGAAGACTCGAGATCGAACTCAAAAACCAAAAGAGAAGGTCAAAGTCTCCTCAAAACACGAAGACAATCAAAGATCAAACAACCAAACAGAAGGCCAATATAAAACAAAATGAGATGAGTGGCACAACAGTAGCATGGTACTAGCATGATAGCCGGTCTAAAGATAAAAATAGATGAGCAAAAAAGAAGAAGAAGAAGAAGATATCAAGGATAAACCACCCCAAACATGGGGAAAAATAAACAGGCCGAAAGGGCTAGTTTCATTCCAAACAACGTCTAAAAAAACAGCTTCCATGCAACCTAATGACATTCCAGAGAGACTCAAAAACACTGTAAATGCTCCTCCTATAAAGATTTCATAGACAAACTATCCCAAAACCCAAAGAAAACAAACACAGTCCAGAGTAACTAAAATGGAAAATGAGGGAAGCACGTTTTCTGGGTAGAGAAAAATGACATTTCTCTTTCTTACAAAATCAGAGTAATTTCTTATTACTGAAGACACCTTGAGTTTTGTTTTTTATATCAAATCACACCTTGTCGGTTTTTGTTTTAGTATTTCTATATGAGCATAATATCAAAGAAAAAATAACAATTCTGACTTCCCATCCTTTCCCAATTATGTAATGGATAAAAAACAGGATGATTTTTCAAAAAAAAAAAGATTTTTATTATTTTATATGCACCAGCTATTTTACTAGACCGAGAAGGTGCCACGCGGGATTATTGCCCTAACTAGAAATGAATTCCAACACACGTGTCATTTTCGCGTGTGAGTTTTTTTTTTTAAACAATTGAGGAGGAGGATGTGAACGACAGTCATTGAATCATGTTGAAATATACGGTGGAGATTCGATCAATTACTAAGGCAGAACCATCATCAATCATGTCCTTCATTTTGGGGCCCACTGTATATAATCTCTCTCTTGCTTTGAAAGCACGATAAATACCTCTTCTATGAACAAAAGAATTTCAAAACAGAAGCCAAGAACAAGAGAGAAATTCGAATGAAACACCTTAAAGAATAAGTCAACGGTAGAGATTTGCTGATCGAAGATGTCGTGGCAAACATACGTTGATGATCATCTGATGTGCGAAATCGAGGGCAACCATCTGACGGCTGCCGCCATTATTGGCCATGATGGCAGTGTGTGGGCCCAGAGCGCCACCTTCCCCCAGGTCCTTTCTGAATTTTTTTTGTTTGCTAATTACCTTACCTTATTATAATTTAGATTTGATTGGATCTGATTTATTGTTCTTTGATCACAAGTTCCTTCCTTGTTTTTAAATGTTTTTATTTTTTGATTCAGTTATTCAATGTGGTGATTGATTTATTATTACGAATGATTGAGTAAGAAATGTTTTTTTTCCCCCTGCAGTTTTAGATTTTGGGATTCCTTTTGTTTTAAGACATTTTTTTTGTCGCAAACGGCAAATGAATTATTAAAATATGAAGGGTTTTTTCTTGTTAATGAATATTAAGAAGGATTCTATGTTGATTTTGTTTGGGTTAATCGTTGAAAGATGGATTGTTGGTAAAATGCTGCATTTGGCAGTTAATTCTTTGAGCATCATTTGTGGTCTGCATCCAGAATCTGGTTTGTGCAATTTTATGCATTTATCGCCTCTGTTTCTTCTGTTGTTGAATGCCTTTTTCTTGCTTGATATGGCTCCAACTGGATTTTAATTTCTTTTCCTCTTTCACGTTTCACTGGCCAAAACATTTCATTGCTGGTTGTTTACAGTTTAAGCCTGAGGAGATATCTGCCATCATGAAGGATTTTGATGAACCTGGATCTCTTGCCCCAACTGGGCTGCACCTTGGTGGCACAAAGTACATGGTGATCCAGGGAGAGCCTGGAGCTGTGATCCGTGGAAAGAAGGTGCTTCATCATTTCTCATTTCTACTTGTCTTGGTTCTCATGCAATAGATAATTCAGTGATTTTGGTTTTATACTTGGCCATATTCAGCATAATTTATTATAATGCGGTCACAACTGTGTAGTCGTTTTAATGGAGAACATGCTATGGTGTCAACTTTATTAGGATGCTTAAAGTTGTGGAATATTATTGTCTGGCAACATGGCAAGAACGGTAATGCTGGTGCTCCCGGATAAAAGCCTTTTACCCTGAATCTTTCATCATATCTAACGTTTACAATAATTAGCATAAATATTTCGTAAAGGCAAGTATGTTTTATCATGTGATCTTTTCACTTGCTATTTTCTTGATTCAAGGACTCGTTCCTTGAAGACTACTGTTATTGATGATATTCTGCTACTGTTGTTGTCGAGAACTTTCCCTCCTCTTAACTCTCTCTGTCTTGGAAGTCAACACTTTTAACTCTTGAACGAATGAATAATCTCAAGAGTATGTTTGTCGGTATTGAATATATTAAAATAATATTTTTTTAATTTTTTAAAATTTATATTTATATTAATACATTAAAATAATAAAAAAACACAAAACAAATTTAAATAAAAAAAATTACAAGTTTCTTTTAAAAATATTTTAACATAAAAACAAACATATCTAAGATAACTTCACGTTCCGATTGCCTTTGAAAGCCCATAATTACTTTGGTCATGCTTAGCCAGTCTCTTTCATTAAGCCTCTTGTGGACAAAAGAGAACAGAGACACGTGGATGACAGGTAGCTTTTTCTTTTGCTTTATTGAAAAGTATAGCCAGTACCTAGGCGTCCCTGATCTGTCGTCGGACGCATCATTTTCATTTGCTGGCACAGGCACCACCTAGTAATAGCATGATATGTTTTTTTGTTTGCCCTTTGATAGTACAACATGTTAGCGAGACAGATATAACGTAATTTTCATGGTAAAACCTTTCATGGTATATTGGTATGTTTCTTTTATCAATCTAGAATTGATGGAAGGCTGGCCTCATCAGGTTTAGTTGTGGTTAGCAGAAGGCGATCTGTGAGAACTAACGCATTGAAATTCTTGGATGTTGTTAAACATGTGGGGAATTATTTTTGTATTTCACATCTTAATGTTGTTGCATGCATGATTCAATTTTCAGGGTTCCGGTGGCGTCACTGTGAAGAAAACCTCCCAAGCTCTTGTTATTGGTCTTTATGATGAGCCATTGACTCCAGGACAGTGTAACATGATAGTTGAGAGGTTGGGTGATTATCTCACTGATCAGGGCCTGTAGGGGCCAACGTTGTGGCTTCAGGATGCAGTTTTTTGCCTCTGGCCATGAACTAGCATGCATTGATGATCTTGCTCTGCGAAATAATGGCTTGGGGACAGAGACGATGATTTATATTTTTTATCATAGGGTCACTCAATTTTCTTCTTGATTTCTTTTCTTAATTTATGCTTGAGAGTTTGAATTCCAGTTGGGTTTGTTTTCTATTCGAAGAAGTTTGATATCACATCATATAATGGCTGCCTTCATGTAATTTGGATGGCTTAAAGCAGTTAATCTACAGGAATACCGAGTCCATATGCAGGATTAAGATGTAAATTTAGAATTACAGTAACTGTGTATTTGATATTGTGGTAGTTTTTATGGTTATATTTTAAAAATATTATTTTGTAAAAAATACTTTTAGTTAAATTTAGTTTGGTATTTATATATGTTTTATTAAAATTATGATTAAAATTGAAGTTGAACAAAAAAATAATTTAATGTGTTTGATTAATAATGTTTTTTAAATTGAGATTATAAAATAATTGAAAAGATATATATTAATATCGATGGTTTTTAATTTAAATATTATAAATCTAACTATTGCTATTATATCTTGAAAATAAATAATGCTTTAATTTTTTTATTAAATTATTTATAATTTTTTTATTAAATTATTTATAATTCTATTATATATGAAATTTATCTTACAAGGATTATAATTTTCATGATTTTTTGACTGTCTAATAAAATCAGGTAAAATATTATCTAATTAATTAATTACAATTAAATTCTGTAAATATTATGTTATCATGTAATTTTTTTCTAATTTATATAGTATTATCGAATAATATTAAATACTATTTTTTTAATAAAACATAATTAAAAAAAACATTAAATTTCTTTTACTGATTAGATTTTGTCTAATATATTTAGATTTAGGTTAGGTTTGGTCTAACCATAAACCATAATTTAGGTTAGGTTTGGTCTAACCATAAAAGATAAAAAAGATATTATTTATTGTTCACATATATTTATTGTTCACATAAACTGTGAATTAATTAATTATATATTATTTATTTTTATAAAATAAACAGTTATTTCACTCTGCATTTCCTGTAAAATAGCATGTACCTGCTTTTCATTCACCTGTATTTTCAATATAAAATTAACTAGGGCTCATAATAAACAATATTTTATATTTTACTAAATATATATTTATTATGGTTCGCTTCTTTGAATGCATAACCAACCAACCACGTAAACAATCACCTTCTAATTAATCTTTTTCTTAGGGATAATGCAGTCAATGAATGAAACGATTTATCCCTTTATATTTAATGAACATGCGTGGTACAGGTTATGCTCTTGTTCACGCTGCTTCGGAAATGAAAATCGAATATTTATATATTGTCTTAAGAATGATATGTAAACAAACTTGTTAGAGAAATAAGGAGATTAATCGCTCTTAAAAATCACTCTTGTCTTCTCGGCTTTCCTAAATTTATCAATATCAATTTCAATTCTAAGGTATATGATGTTCATTATGGCTTATTCACATAAAATTTTTGAAACTTGATATAGTTTCAATCTATTTTTGACTTATATATATATATATTAGTATTTTTAATTATGTATTTCATCTTGAATATTTTTTAAACTTGTTTATAATACATTTCAATACTTTTTTTCAACTAAAATATTTCTTGTGTTTTTTTATGGCAAGCTCCATTATTTTTCCAACTTAAATATTTTTCATGTCTATTTATAGCATGTTTCAATATTTTTCTAACATAATTATTCTTCATGCACATTTATGACACATTACAATATCTTTCCATTTTAGTATTTTTTTTATGTCCATTTATAGCATATTCAATTATTTTTCTATCTTAATATCTTTCTTATGCTAATTTATAACATATTTAAATATATTTTTTCCATCTCTTATTCTTCTTTTGCCTATTTATGGTGTATTTAAATATTACTTAATAAATTCTCCTATTATAAACAATTCATATACTATAAATTAAACTCTATCTTTATGACTGATGCAAATATCATATATTAAGATTTCATCATTACAATCTATTTAATTTTATTGAATAACTATTTTCACCATTACATTCTATTTAATTCTCATATTTTAAAATCCCATATATTTTTTTTAAAAAAAATCTTTACCCTAAAGCAGGGTTTGCATAATATTATTTTTTGGTCATACAAGCATAATTTATTTATATTAAATCCCAACCAAATAGGCATTATTTGCATGAAATTATTTGAGCCTATATGCAAGCAATCTATGATAATACCTATCATTCACATTAGTTTTCATCTAAACAATAAACTATATTTGTATTCATAATCTATGTCCAAATATCCAACAAAGATATAATTAAATTTCATTAGTCTTTATTCAAATATATATATATATATATATATATATAGACACACACACACACAACTATGATATTATCAAATCTCATTAGTATCCGTTCAAACAATAAATTATATTTGTATTCATAGTTTATGTCTAATCTTCCGACTATGATACCATCAAATCTCACTAATCTTCATTTAAATAGCAAACTATCTATGTATGTATACATGTTTATGTTCAAAAGTTCAACTATGATGCTATTAAATCTCATTACTCTCCATCCAAATGAAAGACTTTCTCACATGTTACAACTTTCATTTAAATAGTTAGCTTTCTCGCACGTTTTAGAGCCCACCTATAGTTAATTTAAAATATATGATAGTTATTGTTATTGTGTTCATTCACAAACATAATATTTATTATTGTTGTTTTGGTAGTTCACAACACAATATTTATTATTCAATTACAAATCACATATAATATTACTGTTTTTACAGTCAATTAAAAAACTGATCTATTTTTTTTTTCACAAGCATGATTAAATATACATTGCAAATATAACAACAACAAAAGCATCTTAAATAATTAAAAAGATCAAGGGAGAGTAAAGCAATCTCTTACCTTAAACTCTTATTATACAAGCTCCTGAGAAATCAGGTCTCATTCCAAACACTATACCACCAAACCAATACCTGTAACGTTCACACTACTAAATTAAAAAAATTGACTCATATGAATTTTCATATCATACACCCCAAAATTTAAATAATTATTCAAACACATCTGAAACATCAATTTTTCATTGCATTTCAAGTCAATATTTATGTCATCAAATCAAATCCTCATTGAAGACTTTTGCATTATTAAAATTTTCACGTTTAAATAACTAATTCATAATCCAAAAATAGACACTTTCTTTGACCATTTAACTATGGTAAATTTTTAATTTTTCTAAAATTCTTTAAATTAACAATTTGGCTAATTTTTAACAGAATTTTTATAATTATTTCATAACTCCCTCAATCCATTTTTTTACAACATGTTACTTTAATACCAAGCTGAAATCTAATTCATCAATTTCATATATAATTTAAACAATGTTTAATTTCCAGGTTAACAAGAAAATGCTACAACCTACTAAATCTTTCCTCTCTCTCTCTCTCTATATATATATTAAAAAAAATTAGTTTAAAATTCTCATTGGTTTCATTACTTCTTTAAGCACTTAAGTCGTCAATATTTACATGTACTTTTTTCAAGGTCATTTCACATAATACCAACAATTATTTAAGAACATAATTAACTTTAATAACTAATTTAAAACCTTTATATTAGCTTATCAACATTCAACATAATAAAATATACCAACTTCAAGTCCTGCTCTTTCCCAAGCACATATTTATAACAAAAAATTTATATTTCTATACAAATTGTTTTCTAAACCATAATTATTCATATCAACATATTAAATAAATATCTAATCCTACAATATTAAAATAATTTATACAATTTTTCAAGATTTCCTGTAAGGTTGACCTAAGATATTAATTTATCATTAATCATATTGTTAATCTTTCCTATTATATATTTCTAATCAACACCTATTTTGTGTCAATTAAAGAAATTTATCAATAATTTCTTATTTTTTCAATTAAATTGAAAAGATGAAAAACTCTTTCCCTTACCTACCCAACCAAAATCTTTTCTACATCCATATCTCAGACTAATACTTCACTTAAACATACAATCACACACAATTCAAATAATTTTCAAAATCAATAATTTAGTCAATCTTAACAACATTTCCTAACCTTGGCAAACAAATTACATTACACCCTTTTTCTTTCCATACCAAATATCCTAAACACTCAAATTTAATATTATACATACATTCCCTCATTCATGGTTGGCCTTATATAAACTAATCACCCAATGATTTATTTTTATTTTTATTTTCTTGGATTATCAGCCTCATCATCATAGAAATTAAATTAAACATAACAACATCACTAAAACACTTATATTACCCAATCTTACTATTTTTCTACATTTTTCTCTTTATAGCATATAATAATATTAACTAACTTTTCATAATCCCACACTTCAACATTCATACACAACTTAAGCATTTCAAAACATCAATCAAAACATTAAAATCGACCCAATTTAAATCAATTTTCATACCCTTTAATTTACTCCACATGGCTAGCCATTTAGAGTCCTAATTTCTCAAAATTTGTTTTCAATTTCTTTATTTGTATCCTAAATCATATCATTTAAACCCCATTAACTAATAATCACATAATTTGGCATATAAATTAATTTTTTCACAAAACCTAATATTTCTAAAAATTAGGGATTTTCAACCCCCTATCCAAATACAACAAAACAAATGTATTTAAAACAAAAATAATACCTTAGCATTACCATGCAACCCAATTTAGCAATCCTCTTTCAACAATCTTCAAGAATCCTTGACTTTCTCTTCACTTTGAACGCTTTTCCTCTCTAACTTCTCTTCGTCCAACCCTTTTTCTTTGATGTTTATTTCTTGGATTAGTATCTTTTAGTAGAAATCACCCTCATATATTCTCTAGCCCATGATTTTTGGAAGATTTAGCGCCAATTTTAAAGAGAAAATGATTAAGAAATCAAGTTCTCCTTCTTTAAAGAAGTTGTCAACCAGAACAATGGAAAAAATAAAGATTTGGCCAAAATCACAATAATGTCATTAATGAAATGAATCCATGTGTTATTTTCTGTATTTGTTTTACCGATCATTGACACTCTTATAAAGCCTTTTCAAACTCCGATTAATCTAAAATTTTAACGCACGATAGAAAAATATGTTAGGGAACTACTTGTAAAAGTTTAGCTCAATCTAACGTTCAGATTAAGAGTTATGATTGATATCATGAAATTGAACAATAAGTAATTTTATATAAAAATCTGAATGTATACTATTTTATTTACTTAATTCATCAAGATTTTCAAATTAATTAATTGGAGACTTTTATCCATAATCATAATAAAAATTTTCTTAGAGTCTTCACCACTTTCAATCAAAATAGTGTAATTGTATGTAGGGCTTATACTGATGATCAATATTTTTCGCCCTCAAAATCATACATTATTTGATTTACATTTTCACTCTATTATTGTTGTTGTTGTTATCTAACTATTTTCACCCTAATTTGTGTAAAACAAATTAAATAATTATATTATCTAATTGAGGAATTTACATGATTTGTCATTATATTGGCATTTCACATACCAATTTATTACCTTATCTCATCCTATGTTTAAATTAATTGTTTAAATTAATTTACTAGGATGTTTGTCCTGAATTGCCCCTCATTAAAATCAATTATAATAATAATAACAAAAAAAACTATAATGAAATTACACAAATCCCTTATGCATTAATTATTATTTTGTTTTGCTTTTAAGGGCAATTGATTCATTTCACTATGCAATTAAGACTTCAAAAGACTAAAAAGCCCCTGCACTTCAATTTAATTTTTTTCAACATCCTGGGATAATTAAGTCATTTTACTATATTAAATCATTTTACTATGGAAAAAAAAAACAGGAAGATAGATTTACAACCACCCAATTGATAAGCCATTTGAACCACGTGAAAATATCATTTTGTCTCCCAATCTTAAATTCTTTGGTTGTTTTTCATAATAGAAAAAAATGTCATTTTACTATGCAATAGCCATAGTAAAACACTAATATATGCACAAACACACACACCTCAAAGTTTAATTAACGATCCTATAACTTGATTAAATCACTTTCTAAATTGTGTTCAACAACATTGGGCTCGATCATTAAAAATTTAGTCCTGGTAGGTTTATACCTTGTCCATGTGGTTCATGTAATTTAGTTTGAGGTAAGACTTATAATACACATAAGCCTAAAGTCTAATTAGTGATGAAACTCATCTATGTATCCAAAGATCCACGTGTAAATTGAAACCTTTAGACCTTAAGCATATCATGTGACCCATTACATGTCACTGAATATAGGCTTATCATGTTGATTGAGCCTTCTAGAAGCCTTATTGACCTAACAGGTTCTTAAAACCCATTTTCAAATTAGATTGGGGTGTCTAATGAGCACATCAAGGCAACATCCCAAGGTAAAGACTTCATAGGATTTGACTTTATAGGATTCTAGAATAGTCAAACACATCTTAATACCAATCGTTCAGCCTTGGGTGTATTATCTCTGGGTTATATAGTTGACTCATCACCTTCCATGGCTATACAAATAGATTATGCAAGCAATAAATAAAGGCATGTTTATTAGCCACGTGTTCCATAGAGATTGATCCTATTATCATTATCAATATTACACGGTTAACACTCTATCAAAAATTCAATAAATACAAATAGAATTACCAACAGAAAGTTTTCCATTGTTAAATCTATCGGTATATACCAAGGGAATCTCAGATGAAATATGAAGAAAAAAAAAAAAACAAGTTGTGTTATGACATGTAAGTTGTTGTGGATGATTTGACCGATGTAATTACAATCAGATTCAAACCAGGTTGTCCATATAGTGACGTGTCAAAAACACCAACCGATTTATCGACGGATTGACAGATAAAATAATTTTATTGGTAATTTCTTGGGATTGATAGATAAAATAATTTTATTGGTAATTTTATGGGTAATAGTTAATATATGACCTGGTCGTTAACCCTCCCCTCTTCTATTTCTCCTTCATTCGCCCTGCATCTACACCTCTCAACCCCCCAACATTAACAACCAGCTCCCTCCCCCTTTCATCTCAAGAAAATCTTTTCTAGTCTCAACATCTGTGTTCTGATTTATTGTAGATTTTTTTATTTTTAGTAAGTAAATATTTTTTTTTAATTTTAATATAATTTTAAAAGTTAATTTTATTATTGAATGTTTTTTTAGTATATATATTTTGTTTGGGTGTTTAGTTTACTTGTTTTATTGCTTTTTCTCAAACATGTAGTATGGATTTATAATTTGGCACTTGTTTGTTTTAGATTTTGTAAAATTATATTTATTTGTAAATTATTGAAACTTATATCGATTTTCCGACTTAGATTTGTTGTGATGAAATAAACAATAGCTTGTTTAATAGGTCCGTTTTAATTTTTGTCAATTTTATTACAGAGTTGTAACTTCTGTAAATTAATGTGTATAAATTTATATAAACGTATGTAGATAATTGATAATGAATATTTAAGAGAAGTTTGAAAGTAAGTTGGATAATCTTGAGCTAAACCAATAGTTTTTTTTAATCTATTTACTTAACATAGTTAATTAATACATGTTATCATTATTGTTTTATAAAGTTTTGATAGAAGTTATGAATGACCACTCATGGATGTATCAAGATTCACCTCAAGGATTGCGAAGGATGGATTATTGTAATGTGGTTTAGATTTTTATTAATTTTACAACATCTATTCTGAGAAATTTTAGTAGAGGCAGTATTAGATGTCCATGTAAGAGGTGTAAGAATAAAAATTTTATTTATTAAGATTGTCGCACGTGTGCGGCTTCGCGGCGATCGTCTACCCTCACTCGAAGTGTCTTATGTCTATCTATTCTAGAAAATATAGGAAGACAAGGAATTTTTGTCTCTTATCAGTAAAAAATTGAATAGGAAGACAAGGAATTTTTGTCTCTTATGAGTAAAAAATTGGAATGGGAGTTGCCACCTAGCATTTTTGTCACTAGAAAACCTAACTGGTCTTAGAGATCGAGTACGGAGACTGGTTGCGTAAAGGGAAGGTATTAGCACCCCAAATACACCCTACCTAAGGTAAGCTGCATTGTTTTATTGTCTAATAAAAATCTAAGGTCTTGTCATATTGGTCCGTCTATGTTTCAAGAAAAACCCTCCTCAGTAAAAAGGTTCTTATCTTATGAGATAAAATCTAACCGGTCTAATGTCTATAATAGAATTATCTTTTTAATATCATGAATACATTTTATATATAAATTCATAATCCTGGATATTAAAATAAAACAAAATATTTTTTTTATTTTTTTTGAAATATTGGTCAAGTTCTCATGACTTTAATAAACTGGTTATTTAAAGCTAAAATACATGTTAAAATATGATATATATTTTTTGAAGTTTTTTATTTTGTATAAAAATACAATATGATTTTTTTCTAACTTTGAGAGACTCAGCCGTATGTAAAAAAAAAGCATTTTTTTATATGTTTTCAAAGTTTTGATGAAAACTAGGAATTTTAACATCAGATTTGTATCTTTTTTTTTTAAAAAAATACAAACTGATATCAATCAAAATGGCATAAATCAAATACGTCGGGAAATCATAATTTCTTCAAAAATATATATTTTTCCTTAAAAAAAAAAACAAATGAAATGAACTGGACTAGGTTGGACTCAGCGCAGCTGCGTGGGCTGGGCTGATGTTCCAGCATTTGTTGTAGAACATGAATTACTCACATTTTGCATGCAAATGAAAAATGAACAAATAAAAATGACAGGGGAAGGGAGAAAGTTACCTGGAGTGGAGGCGTTCTAAGAGTTGGGCTTGTGGCGGCTTGTAGCTGGGGTGGCAATGGCTGGGAACTCAGGTGGCGTTGCTGCAGTGGCAGACGGTGGTTGATGCAAGGGGCTGCTTCTTCTTCTTCCTGCTACCTCTACCCCTCTCGTGTGTTTATCTTGTTCTTCGTTGTTTAATCCCTAGCGATGACGATGCTATGAGGAATGGTAGAGGCACTGGTGGAGGTGTAATGGTGGCTCTTCTCCTCCCTCTTCTGTCTTGCTGTCTTCTTTTCTCAACCACCTCTTCTCTATTTTTGTTATGTTATCTTCTCTTTTTCTCCTCTGTCTCTTCAGGGCTGTCAGCGGCGGTCAAGTGACCTGCTATGGCAGTAGAGAGGAAGCTTAGTGGCAGCTATGGTTGTTCTTCTTCTCTTGTATTTTTTTCTTCCTCTGTCATTTCTCATTCTTCCCCACTTCTTTGATGGCTTCCCTTTCTCTTTCAAAAGAACTGTCTCCTCTCTCGGTCTCCCCTCTAGTTTCTAGTGTTTTGGTTTGTTTCTCTTCACTCCTTTCTCTCTAAAAAACTGTTGTTTCTATCTTTCGTTCTCTCCTTTCCTTCTAAAAAACTGTCGATCTCTCTCTCAGTTTCTCCTCCCTTCCTCCTCTCTCACTTTCTTCTTTCTTTTTCTCTTTTTTCCTCTTCGTTCTATTTAATTCCCCCTCCTCTCTCTCTCACACACATTCATTCCCCCCTCTACTCCATCTCCTCTCCTTTCTGTATTTATAGGCGTACAAAGAGAAGGGCACCTGACCTCTGCCACGGAGCAAGGTAAGGTGGCTACCCTGCCACTATCTTGGTACAGGGTAAGGGCAGAGCATGGTTGTCCATAGGGCAAGGCTCTCCTGGTTTTTTTTTTTGTTATGGTGGTAGGGTATGTATGGAAATGGGTCATGTTGGGTTTCCTGGGCAAGTGAGGTGGAGAGAGGGGGAGTGCGTTGTAGGGGAGAGTAACTTCTTCTTCCCCTACCTCTGCATGTGCAGGGGAAGAAGAAGGAAAAATAGTGCCACCTATAAAAGAGCTCTATTTTGCTTTTCTTTTTGTTTTAAAAAAATGATGCATGAAACAGAGTCGTTTTTTCCTAAAACCCGCAGTTTCATTTAAAAGGATATCAGCGCCAAAGTGTCAAATTTCAAGTCAGTCCTTAAATTTGCGCATGTTTTGTATTTTGGTCTTTGGTCTCGTGTTTCTTTAATTAAGTCCTTGATTGGCCATCGAACTTTAATACTTATGTAACTAAGACCCTAATTTGACCAAATTAACTTTCAAAATTATAGTTTGACCCCAGAACTTTAATTCCTTCCAATTAAAGCCTAAATTGATTTAAAAATAAATTTTTCTTGTAGTCAAACCTTTATAAATTCAATTAAAGCTTTAAAAAAATTTAATTGGGTCCATAAACATTTGATTTTGTACCTTTCCCCCTCAAATCAAATTTTCTTTATCAACAAGGCTCTCATCAGTCAACGATATACTGTCAAATTTCAATCTTTGTATTTTTAAACCTCCTCAACCAATTTTTTTTACCATTTTCTCGACGCTCTGCCATCCTCTTTTCATAGCTATTACTTTTGATATATTTTGATTGATTTTTTTTCTTTTTTTTCTTTTTTATGCAGGGATCCAAAAATGAGTTATGACAAAGATGTTGTAATGATGCATCTTTTACACAAAGGATTCATGGAGGATTACTTATATTAGTATGCACACAGAAAGCTATTTGTGAGTAACGATAGCATGGTAGGAAGGATAGATGATTGATACTTAAAAGTGTATTTTTATCAAGGTTTTATATCATCATTTTGCACTTAAAGTATCAATAACTCCTTAACTAAAGCATGTTTTATAATAATATATCTAATAATATAAGATACCTTTAATTTGTGGTAAATGTTCATTTTAAATGCAGGCCTATCATATAAATGAAAGGATTGATTGATAAATTTAAGAACTGAAATTGGAAGGATAAAGAGATGGCCAAACTTAGAAAAGAGATATCGCTGCAATCTAAACCGGAATACTGTTCAGTAATTGGGTCATATCTGGAGCTGTAGATCTCGAATTTAGGTCTACTTTATATGGATGGAAAGGTAAGACATGGGCCTACAACTTTCATATGGAGCCCAAGATCTAAAAAGGCCATTTTCAAGTCCAAACTGTAGCAACAACAAAGAAGTCCGAATCTGTCTTCCAGCCCGAGCACTGTTCAGTATTTAGCCCATATCTGGAGTTCTAGAAGTCCAAATGAGTTGAAGTTTTTACACAAGAAAGTTGAGACAATTTTCTACAACTTTCATGTTTTCAAGTGGCTCCAATTATGATGTTATAAATGACGTTTTGGGCAGACAAGAGAAGATAAAGATTGTCACCAAGTAAAGAGTTGGCTACCCACTCATCAATTAGTCATCAAATCAATAGTTCCCAATTTTGGCCTATAAAAGGAGGCATTTGCCATGCATTTAGGCATCTTGGTGTCCAGATCAAGATCATGCTCTTGCTTTCTCTCTTTGTATTTTTTGTAATGTTTATGCTTTGTTTTCATTAATATCAAGTTTATGTCTTTCATTTCCTTTCCTTTACTTAGTTAACTTTTATCTTATTTGTGTTCTTATTTTGTTTATCTATTTTTCTTTCTTTCATTATGTCTAGCTAAGTTTATTATGTCAAGGTGAAAGGGTTACACTAATGGTGTAAGAATAAAAGGTTACACTAATGGTGTAAGAATAAGTATAGTATAAACTTATTCTTACACTAATGGTGTAAGAATAAAAGGTTACACTAATGGTGTAAGAATAAGTATAGTATAAACTTAATATGGACTTTAATGTTTGATACTAACATGTTTTATATTTGTTATCTTGTTCACTCTTTAATACTTTACTTGTTAAATAACTAATCTTGATTTATGTTATATAACACTTGGTACAATAAATGCTTGGCACTTTCCTAGCCTATACTGTATGGTATAACCGACACCTGAGCTATAAAAGGAACTTGATTTGTTGTTAACATAAGTTATAATCATGAATGCTTGATGAAATTTACAAGTATTAGCATTAATTGAATAAGATGACTAATGTAATCATGTTAACAATCTATAATCTGATTGGAACCTCTTTTGTGTATGGTTTTCAATTGAATAATAAGAGTTTATACAATACTTGTTTGACATACCATAGTGGATCCTCTAACCTTGACATTGTTTGTTATCATTGTTTAATCCTTACGTTAATTTTCCATCTCAAAGTTCTCATCAAATTTTCTTCTTCTTCTTCTTCTTCTTTTTTCTTTATTATTGTTATTATTATTATTATTATTATTATTACTAGTATTATTACTATTACTACTACTACTACCATTATTATTAGTATTATTATTGCTACTATTATTATTGTTGTTGTTGTTATTGTTACTATTGTTGTTGTTTATAATTGTTGTTTATAATTTGTACAATTAACCTCCTTGTGGTTCGACCTTGGTCTTGCCAGGTTATTTATTACTTCGACACTCCTGCACTTGGGAGAAGACAACAATCTTTTGGTCGTGTCAAGTTTTTGGCACCGTTGCCGAGAAGGTAAGTTCTTGTATAAATTATAGCATTTATTTTATTTTCTCTTTTCACTTTTCTTGTATATAACTTTGTTTCTTGTCTCTTTTTTCTTCTTTTTTTGTTTTCTTCTTCCTTTTATTCTATTCCTACACGTGCATGAGAGCGTGGTCACATACATCAAGTGGTAGACTTTGTAGGGTATCCTCATCATTTTCAGAAAATATGGCTGAAGAAGATAATCAATCACTTCATAATGAGAATAATGAGAATAACCGTGTTAGAACACTTAAAGACCACATGAATCCTATAAGAACAAGTGCACCATCATACATAGTTTTTCTTCTTGATGCATCTCATTTTAGTTTTAAGCCAGGCATTATTCAACTTTTACCTTCTTTTTATGGCATGAACACCATCAGATTAAATTTTTTTCATTTTTCATTAAAAGATAAAGCTAAAATATGGCTACAAAATTTGAGACCAGGATCCATTCATGTTTGGGATGAAATGCAATAACAGTTTTTAAAGAAGTTTTTCCCATCTCACAGAACAAACTCTTTCAAAAGATAAATCACTACTTTCACTCAAAAACCAGGAGAAACATTTTACCAATGTTGGGATAGGTATCGAGACTTACTTAATACTTGCCCTCATCATGGTTTTGAAACATGGAGATTAGTTTCACATTTTTATGAAGGGTTAGCACCTGGAGATAGGCAAATGGTTGAATTGATGTGCAATGAAACTTTTGAAGATAAAGACTCAGATGAAGCTATGGAGTACTTAGACTTGTTAGCTGAAAATGCTCAAAATTAGGACACTGCGGGTACTTATGAGGCACCGAGTAAAACTCAAACTCATACATCTAGTGGAAGTATGTACAACCTTAGGGAAGATCATGACCTTCAAGCCATATTTGCATCTTTAACTAGAAAAGTCGAGGCATTAGAATTGAAAAGGAGTGGTCACTTAAAATATGTTGAAAACATTATGCGTCAAATGTGTGAAACAAATGAACACTCAACCAATAATTGTCCAACCTTGCCTTCATTTAAGGAATGTCTCCATGAACAAGCTCATGCTTTAAACAGTTTTCAAAGGCCCAATCATAACCTATACTCGGAAACATACAACCTTGGTTGGAGAAATCATCTAAATTTCAGTTGGCAGAGTGATAATGCACAAACTTCACCACCACAGTTTCAAGCACACCATAATTTCCAAAATTCTTATGGATATGCACCTTTTTATGCTCTACCTCTTAAAAGTAATTTTGAGGAAACTTTGTATGCATTCATTGAAAAGCAAAAGACAATCAACACTCAACTTACTCAAAGCATAACAGATTTTAAAGACACTCTTGTAAAATTCACATCTGCTCTCAGTTTTCAAGAGCAAGGTAAGTTTCCATCTCAACCACAGCAAAATCCCAAGGGGCAATACAATGCAAATGCAAGTAGTTCTTGAAGTCAACACATGGATCAAGTCAAATCAGTATCACTCTTTGTAATGGTAAGGTTATTTAAAAATCAATTCTTGAACCTTGTGAGAAAGATGATGAGTCAATCTCTGAGGGTAAGGAAGGGGTTGAATCTGAACATTGCAAAGAAAAGACTGATTCCCCACTAGCACTTCTATTTCCTCATGCCATGACCAATCAAGAAGAAATCGAGGATGAAAAAGGCACCGAAAATATTAATGCAGATCTTTTATCAAAAGTGACAACAGATTCAATACCCGACATCACACCAATCGATGATTACTTTCCTGATGAATCCTTACTTTCTCTTAGTTCAATGCCTTGGTTTGTTAAAAATATCAATTTTCTTGCTTCAGGATTTTTGCTAGCTCACTAGAGTACCGAAGACAAAAGAAAATTTTTGAGCGACATGCAAAATTTTTATTGGGATGACCCTTACTTATTCAATTATTGTCCTGATCAAATATTTCAAAGATGCATTCCCGACAATGAGGTAAGTAATATCATTAAATTTTATCACTCTAAGGCACATGGGGATCATTTCTCATAAAAAAAAAAAAGAATTATTGAAATCTTACAAAGTGGATTTTACTGGCCTACCATATTCAAGGAATCACATGCATTCCGCAAAACCTGTGAAAATTGTCAAAAAATGGGATTTATTTCAAAACATAGAGAGTCTTTAGATAATCTTCTATTGACTTTTAAGTCTCATCATAGTCGAGATAAGCATCGTGCAATTCATGATTTATGGCCCTATTTTCATAAAGAACATGATCGACTTAGTCTTGAGAATCTGACTAAAAAACACCTTGTTTGCCAGTTTTTAAGAAAACTGGATGGGAAGCTTATCCCCGACCCATAGAGGGTGTTTAAGCCGTTCTTGGACGTAAAACCAAGGAAAGATATGAGCCACAATCACAACTACCTGTACATACACATGTTTTTTTAAAAATAA